ATGGTAAATGGAGTTGCTGTGATAGTGTTAGTGCTTAATAGGCTTCCACTTATTGGCCCATGGAAGTTACTATAGTAGTTTTCTTAGTCTTCCGATTTTCCTTCCTTGCAATTTCTCAACCTTTTACTTACATTTTCACTTCAGTAAAAGGATTACAGACGTTTTCCATTTCCTTTTATTTGTACATTTCTCCCACACGTAAAAGGTCACATATTTATCCCATCCCCTTAATTTGTCTTTTATCACAAATTTCTGCAAGACACTTGGACGGGGGACTTTCTTTTCAGGCGGCCTCACAAGAAAGCCCTACTGATAACCCCTTTTAAGAGCCTACACTTCCCCTGAAGCCTTCCAGATCAGTAATGGCTGTGGGTGTTACAGATATAACCAAGCAACAGACAGTGCACTAAATTTTTGAAAGAACCCGTCTGACCGAGCCGAAAAAGCTACTGCTCTCATTGAATTCTGCGCCCTTTTCTGTAGACTATTATCGGAGATACGCCATCCCCAGGAGAGCGAACCATATCCACTACTGTCCCCATTGGTTTGCCAGCCTCCTCTTCACATTCTCCCCTCCGACTTGCCACCTTCACAGTGGAGGTCGCCTGCTGCGTTTGTCACCTCCCCCTTCTGGGTAATATTATTATTGACAACGATATCTAATTACTCATTTTGTCAACGCAATCGTCTGTGACTTGAGGGCTTAACGAACTTCCTACGCTTTAGGCATGTCCTTTCAGGGTTATCAATGCGACGTTTGTGGGAGTGCTTTTCACCGGCTCTGTCGCATCTTTGTCGAAGAACATCCTGAATGTCCGAAACAGTTCCTTCCAGATCCTTCGGTTCCCCAGACGCCCAAGGACTTTGAGGATCAGAGTGATGAAGTGACACTAAAGCTGCCATTGCCAACTGCAACCGAGCCCCTGCTGTCTTCGTACTTTGGGGTAGCCATTGAGGATCAGGTAAGAGAAAACAAGACGAGCATATAATCTCCTCCTCCTCCTCCTCCT